TCTTCGTATAAGTAGCTACCTCGAATTCAATAGAATACTTACCAACCCTTTTTCCGATTTCGCAGTTGAAGCTTCGGGATATACTAAAAAAGGTCGGCATGAGCTATCTTGCGAGTGCGCCGTCGTGGATTGACTCAGGCTGGCACTCTTCCCTTCTGCAAGCTTCACGATCCGCTGCTTGCTTAGCTCAGATGTACACGCCGACACGATATTTTTTAGCATGTGTGTGTTTGTTCTGGAAATTTATGTCAGAGTGGTTCCACAGATGCGACTTTGAGGGCATGACAGCTTACAGATTTCAGCACTTCAGCACTCATGCCCTCCCACTTTGAGCTAGCGTATTCAGTACCCCTTCCGTGTCCAATGTCATTATTGCTACGCTTGTCTTGACGCTTGTACTAGGTCAAGGGGGTGCCGGCATTGAAAAAAAAGACCCGGGGTCGATTTTTTTTTTAAGGCGACTTGAGATGGACTAACTAACTAACGTAATCAGGAACATGTCTATATATAGTAATATGACATCATTTGTGAGTGCTTCCCCTGTGTCTTGCACAAGTCATGCAGGCAAAATTCCGGGGTGCTTGCACATGTTCCACACATTTTAGATGGAACTAGGCAAATAACGTGAGTTGGAAAATCACTCAGTTCTCATAATACAATGTACTTACCCAGTGTGTCTCGCACACCTTGTTTGCATATGAGGATTTGATGAGGATACACAGCTACCACAGATTGCGAAGCCCTCCGCATCAAGGGCAGGTGGCTCCGTCTCAATGGTGTGATACATAGAATGTGTGAAACCAATGTTAGACATACTGTAGATTTTAGGATATTGTTGGTCAACGGTAATTCAAGTAATGTCAAAAAAATGCCCAAATATGGCAGGAATTAATGAATATCTTATATCACGGTGCTTGATGGCCTCTATTGGAGCTGTATTCCTCCCAGTACATTCTGTAGTTACCATATTATGCTGCAAGGTACTCAACTTGATGATTGAAGGCCTTCTGCCCAAGGCATCCTTTTTTTTTTTTCACAGCCTGCGGCTGGACTAACTAACCGGGTCCCGGTACGGGATTCCCGGGCCAGNA